CAGGCCTAAAAAACAATGATTCCAGGGAAAAATGCCATTGGTTGTCAATCTTTTTTTTTCTTTGGACTGGGGCAAAAGGTTTGTCCTTTCAACTAATTTTAGTAACCCCCATCTCCAACTAACAAAGCATATGTGATAGGGACATTAGTCATACTTTACATAACCTTATGAAAACCAATGACTTTCCTAATGGTACTAATTTTTGGACCTGAGTCCAAAACACTCACCATTTTAGTCAAAACTTTTCTTCAGATTATATGTTTCGTGCTTTAGTGTTAAAAATAGTGTATTAGGTTTTCTGTTTTTTTTTCTGTTTTTGATTCTTCATACCATTATTTTTAGATGTTTACCAAATTACTGTGAGCATGGAGGCCAGTGTTCTCAATCCTGGAATACTTTCTACTGTGACTGTTCTGGAACGGGATACACAGGAGCCACCTGCCATAACTGTGAGTAGGAAAATATCTTCATATCTCTGTCTCGTCCACAGCTCCCTGTAACTACCCAACTGTAAAAAAACACACATTATAAGCATAACTTTGACACTCTTTATACTGTGGTTTGCAATAGTAAAATGAGTGACCTAAAATGTATTGGAAACACAGAACATTTAGTGTACTCACACATGCATTTTTTCACAGTCAGAGACATTATGCATTGGCCCTATAGCCTGGAACATATTTTTCCATCAGAATTACCCAAATGAGTTGTTTTCATGATCAGCAGATTGTATAAACCCAAATGTCCTAATGTGTTACCTGTAATGTGGTGCATTGTGTTATGTAATTCACCGGCCAAAACGATAGGTGGCACTTGTAATGTATTAGATATTAGTGAAATGATTACTTCATTTAATCTGTTTCTCTACTGTGCATGTTTAAATCTGCTTAATATGGAATATTAATATGGGATGTTACAACTAAAGGGACATTTTGGTAGATGAAAATAATGTACCTAATGTAATGCAAATTTCAGCAATGAGTAATCAGGAAATAATTTAAATTATGATTCGGAAAAATATATTTATCACTTACTGTTCTGTAGTGGCTTTAAAGCCCAGACAGACAAAAGTGATAAAGGTGATATAAATTCAAACAAGAGGGTGCAATATAGCAGAGTTCATCACATTTGTAAATTAATGAGAGGCTATATGAACTGAAGCAGCTCCTGTATTGATGTGAATCATTTTCTGGCAACATCCCAAATGTTTCCACATGCCACATTTAGCATTCATTGCTCTACCTGTAGGTTGTACAGAGTAGTGCAGTCTTACAACAGAATACTACTGTGGTTAAGGTGTGCTTGTCATAATGTGCTGCATTATCTGGTGTGTATTCTGGATCTGTATAAAAATACAGTATATAAAAAGGTTATGGGAAACACTTTACTTTGAATGAACCATAAACATTCTAAAGCCGCAATTCCAGTATGGTGAAAAAAATGAGGTGATAAACATGAGTTCTGCCATTGTACAGTAAGTAATAGAAAAAAAACATTTTGCAAGGAATGTCAAAATTTGTTGAGTAGCCACAATCATCAGTCAGAGAAAATATGAAACGTGCCTAGTAAAAGTACTTACTCCCTTCCAATGAAGTCCTACATTGTTGAATTGGTGCAAATATTTTTTATGAAAATTAGAATTATCAAAGTGAACACTTATAGGTAAAAGAAATTAGTTTTATAGTAAGTAGAAACTGTAAATAAAAATCTAAAAAAACAAAATGTGTTAAGTACAGTGTATATAAAAAGTCTATACACCCTTATTGAAATTGCAGGTTTTTGTGATGTTAAGCCAGAAATCAAGATAAATCATGTCAGACATTTTTTCCATCTTTAATGTGACCTTGCAACCAGCAACATTCAAGAGAAAAACAAATAGATAATTATTAGGAAAAATAAATTAAATTAAAAAGCCTACAACACCGTGGTTGCATAAGTGTGCACACACCCCCAACTAAAAGTGGAAGCACTTTTTGCATTTATTACAACAGTATGTCTTTGTGAATAAGTCTTTACAATTTTATCCCACTCTTCCTCGCAAAAAAGTTCAAGCTCCTTCAAATTAGGTCATTCCTCAGGTTTTCTATTGGATTGAGGTCTGGGCTCTGACTGGGCCATTCCAAGACTTTGAGCTTCCTTTTCTGAAGCCATTCCTTGGTTGACTTGGATGTGTCCTTTGGGTTGTTATCATGTTGAAAGGTGAAATTCCTCTTCATTTTCAGCTTTCTGACAGAGGCCAGCAGGTTTTGTGCCAAAATATCTTGATATTCGGAGCTAGTCATTATCCCATCTATTTTGACTAGAGCCTCTGTCCCAGCTGAAGAGAAGCAGCCCCAAAGCATGATGCTACCACCACCATGCTTCTCAGTAGGTGTGGTGTTGAATGATGGGCTGTGTTGTCTTTGCGCCAAACATATTTTTTAGAATTAAGGCCAAAAAGTTCAAACTTTGTCTCATCAGACCATACAACATTTTCCCACTTGGTTTGGTGTGATTACACACACTAAGGACATTAAGGACACCATTCCAAACACAGTGTACCCATACCAGTTCAGTTTGCCTACCGGTCCAACAGATCCACAGATAACACAAATCTCCATTGCCATACACACTGCCCTATCCCATCTGGACAAAAAGAACACATACACAAGACTACTATTCATCGACTTCAGCTCAGTTTTTAACACTATCATCCCAGAGAAACTGTCAAGAAACTCAGTGCACTGGGTCTCAACACCACCCTCTGCAACTGGATTCGGGACTTTCTGACAGGCAGACCTCAGGCTGTCAGGCTTGGAAACCACACCTCC